GGGGGAATTTCGCTTTGCAATGATCAGTCCCCTGTTTCAGTAACCAATCATCACAAAGCGATGATTTTCGCACAGCTGATTGGCTGTTTCAAAATGGCTGCCAGGTTAAAAAAAAATGGCCACCCGCTATTTTCTGGCATGGATTCCTCACTGCACGGGCAGTGAAAATGGCCGTGCTATGGAGGATCTTCGCTGGACAATGAGTTTGAAGCCCCTAGGAACACCTTAATCGGGTTTTAATGCGTTTCTATGGGCTTTTTAAAATCGCATGACGATGTTTTCATTTTACAGCGATTATCGCAGAACGAATTAACGTTGTCATGCGAGGCACCAGTGTGCTGGTGTTTCTTTAAGGACTTGCCATTGTTTGCTGTGGTCCACACAGTCAAAGGCTTTTGCATAGTCAATGAAGCAGAGGTAGATATTTTTCTGGAACTCTCTGGCTTTCTCCATAATCCAGCGCATGTTAGCAATTTGGTCTCTAGTTCCTCTGCCCCTTCGGAATCCAGCTTGTACTTCTGAGAGTTCTCAGTCCACATACTGCTGAAGCCTACCTTGTAGGATTTTGAACATAACCTTGCTAGCGTGTGAAATGAGGTTCTTTTCATTAGTCGAGTGTTTAACTGCAGTTAAATTATAGCTTTGCTATGTGTTTTGTAAAAATGTGACAGAACTGCTCTCTGAATGCCAATCTTGAAATCTTATTTGCTAACCCACCAACTGGAATACTATGAACAGTACTGAGAATGGTCCTTGGCCTCATGCAAGGACCTTTATAAAAGGTAAGAACTTTTTATCTCACCAGATCAGCCTGTGTTAAGATTTTATGAAATGTGCTAAACCAGCTGAAGCCCATGCCCCATCATAAGCGACGTCTGAAATTCCACTTCATTTAAAAGCATTTCACTATACAGGATAGGATCCACTGGTTGGATAAAATAAATTCATAGCTTCCTTAGGCTCAGTTGGTTTAACATTTCTTTGGATCTTTGTTTATAAATATTCAATTACTTTACCTTTGTAATTCACTGATATATTATTTATAATTGACATTATATTATACCCTCTAATAGCTTCAATACTCAGTGTGGTCTAGTAGGCAGAATAACAGGCTATGACTCAGGATTACTGACCTTGAATCCCCGCTTAGCCATGGAAACTCACTGGTGGTGTGGAACTAGTAAAACTACGCCTTAAACATCTCCTTTACTTTGAAAGCCCTGTTATGGTCACCATAAGTTGATTCCAACCTGAAGGCACATAACAACAACTCTAACAACATACTCAGGTCATGACTATTAAGAGAATGGCAGCCAAAATAAGGTCATACGGAGTTATTAAGGGAAGTCTTTTTCCCTAGAATTAACCCAATTTCCCTCTTACAATAGGATTTCAATACATGCCTTGTCAATCACATTTATGAATTAAGCCTATGTTTACCTTCTAATGACCAATCACAAAACAAAGGAGTCATAAAGCAAGATACTCAGTTGATGAAAATAGTGTGCTGTGACAAACAGATGTCTCATACTTGACAGTACCACTTCTAAAAATATGGTAAATCTATCCTCCAGTTCAATTCTGGGAGAGAGAAAAAAGGATGGTATCAGTAGATTCAGAGGACATTTGCACCAATATGTGATTTAAAAACAAAACACCAGAGCCTGTCCCAAAAATGCTCCCGTGGGACTGAGCATGCTCAGTAGCTACTAACTGTTGAATATAAGGTTAAAAAGCAAAACAGAAAAAACAGTATGGAGTGTCTGAAAGGATAAGAATGGAATGCCCTGCGAGAGGGGAATAAAGGCTGGAACCATGAACAGGATAGTGGGGGAGAGGAAGATAATGAAGAATTTTCATGCAGATCCCACTTGGGGTGCAACCAGACAGGCAGTGGACTAAATGACCACTGTTTGGTCTGCTGCAAGGACAGATTGGTTCACTCCTTTTTCCAGCAATCACACAACATAATCATTGGAGTGAACCAAATTGTCCAGAGTATTCCTACCTGCACGTTTCTGAGCCACAGATTTGGCTGTGGGCAGCTTCTCAACTGGTTCTTTAAGACAAGGCCAAGAAAATATATGATATTTATTTTTTGTAACTGATACACTGCATTAGTGATGGTCTACTGCACTCTTTAAAAAATCTCATGTCATCTGCCCCTCCACCAAGGGGCAGCAGAAGTGTTCAATTTGCTGATATCCTGAAGTGGCTTGCTTATTGAGCCACTTCACAAAATCAGAAATTCCAGCCAGAAAGAGTCAGACCAAACAAGATCACTTAGTCCGATACGCCATTTGGATGCAAGGATTGCATCAAAAGGTATATCACATCGTCACCCAATTCCCAAGGAACCCTATTTAGACTGCACCACCCCCTCTAAAAGATCCCATCTAATTTGCACCCTTATATTATTATTCATGTTTTACTGAAAATACAAATGATTTGAAAAAGTGTAATAGGGTGGGGTGTACAACTGCCTCTCCCAGTTTAGTGAAAATAATTTGTGATTTCTGGTAAATTTAATCTAGTAGGTTGTGCTTAGCATGCATTAAATTCATAACTCAATTAGCTACAGTCCTAAACTGTGATAAAAGGGACAAAATTCTCTAAAATGAATTTAAAGGATAATGAACTGGGGAGGGAGGGTGGAATCTAGTGTAGGAGAAACCCCCTGACATTTAATGGCTCATCACAAAGACATCAATAAATCAGAAGGTACAAACAGATATTGTTGAATATAGAAATGAAATGAGGAGAAACCTCCTTACCTGCCTGGGCAGCTGTAATTAGAGCCGTGTTTCCTTCGTTGTCCTGCCAGTTTACATCAATATGAGGGCACTGTGCTAAGGCTATTACAATATCCACAAACCCGTGGTAACAGGCAACAATAAGGCCAGTCTATAAATAAAAAATAAGGTAACGATTAAAAGAAAACAAGTCGAGACACTTTTAACCTCATATCTTGTTTCTGATTTCATCCAGGAATGGAGTTAAGTGAAAGTGCCAAATCAAGTAGTTAAAATTATCAAATGATTTATCTGTAGCATTTATAATCTACCTTTCCCACTTTGTATAGAAGCCCAAAAGTATACATTTGTGAACTCAAGTTAATAAAAATCATTCAGCAAAAACCATACAATGGATGAAAAACAAAGCATCCCCACTAACGACAACAGAAAGCAATGCCAGGAGGCAAACATCTATGATTGTCTAGCTCAGAAATGTTTGTCTAGCTCAGAAATTTCTAAGTTCATTTTCTCCTGAAAAATTATGGTGCTGGGATTCCTTTGGGAGTAAGTCACATAATTGCAGTACTAAATTTAGATCTGCATAAATTCAGGAGTGCCCTACAGATAAGCTGCTCTGTTCTTGCTGCTCCAACTGTGCTAAGGGCAAAAAGGGACTTTTTGGAGCACAGCAGCAGCACATTGGGAGAAGCCTTAGATCTTCAAATCTCTTCTTCCCTTGACATGTCCTTGGAACAAGAAGAAATGCATGCTGACCCCAGAGCTGACAAGCTTTTCTCTCTCTCTCATACAGACCAATAGGAGGAAATCTGTAGTAGCAAATTAAAAAATGTGAAGATTAGAGAAAAGCTCTCACACACCCTGGCTTGAATAGATGCAAGCCTAGCTAAGTTTAGGAGGTAGCAATCTCGCTATGGATTCTTACTCTGGTCATCCCCTTAATGCTGTGCAGCATTTTGTTTTTCCAGCAGACCCCGGTAACATAGGTGAGTGCCCTCCCCATCTCATATTTATTTATAGGCTGCCTTTCTAGGGCTATCTTTCTCAAAACAATTATTGGGCTGAGACTGACATAATTTCTTTGTGGAAATCCTTGCTCTGTCACCTTCCACTGCATTAAAAAAAACTTAGCAGTTCCCAAAAGTGAACAGCTATATTATAATTATGTAAAATCTATGACATTTTCGTTCTGCCCCAAAAGTGATCTACCCTGATTGCTTTCATTTTACTAAACACTAAATAAAGAAGGATGTATGGATAAATCTCTCACAAATGCCAAGCGTGTTACTATGTTTTAATTTATATGGGACATTTAACCCACAGTGCCCATTATATACCATTTATGAATTAACAAGGTTAGTAATTTATGGTGGTTTAGCTAAGCACTATTCTTTCTCATTACTGAAAAAGCAATTTTTTAAATATATGAAATTCTAATCATTTGCATCAGACTGCTGTTCATGGAGAAATAAAACAATACAGAACCAAAAGAACATGAGTCCTTTTGTAGGACAACTGAAGATAAAGACTGTCTATACAACAATACCTTGCCAAAAATTAATGTTAGCATAACTGTTCGTATAATACTAGAATGTCTGATTTTCAGTTTACAAAGTTATAGTCCAGTATCCTACTGCACAGTTTGACCAGCATAGCAGGACTCACATCATCAGGAGCAGCAAATTGTCACTGATCAAAGGGTTTCTGCTTTGACCCCGGGCTGCAGTTAAGTGCTGGTGATAGCAGTCTTGTTACATTGGCAGAACTATGCAACAGGATTGGGCCACAGAAAGCTTGTAAAGAAAACAAGTTTATGACATAATGATACATACAGTTATGTGGGGAGGGGAAACACCCTCTTTGAATTCTATGGTTTTATGTATCAGGACATAATAAAAACCATCTGGTTCTTAGCAGGTCTGAAAATTAGGTAAATACAACTTCAGATGAACAACATGACATATTATGCTGTGTCATGATTACTTTTACAAAAAATAAAGCCAAAATGGAGAAGCCATGTGTCAAAAACTAAATATACCCTTATTGTTTCCATAGGAATTAAGAAGCTAAGTGCTAACCAAATGCCCTTGAGTGACTGATCATCAACAAGTGTGACCACCTCTACAAAAGCCTAAGTTTTAGCAGTTTGCTAGTCTGGAGCATTGAGGTGTGTTAACGCAATGCCAAGGAGGAAACACATGAATAATGATTGTAGAGAAGCAATTTTTGCTGCCCATCCATCTGGGAAGGTATTTAAGGCCATTTCCAAACCATTTAAAGTCCATCATTCTACAATGAGGAAGATTATTCACAAGTGGAAAACATTCAAGACAGTTGCCAATCTTCCCAGGAGTTGATGTCCAAGCAAATTCACCCCAAGGTCAGACTATGCAATGCTCAGATACATTAAAAAAAACCCCAAGAATTACATTTCAGACTCCACACGCCTCAGTTAGCATGTGAAATATTAAAGTTCATGACAGTATACTGTAATTAGAAAAAGACTGAACAAGTATGATTTGTTTGGAAGGGTTGCCAGGAGAAAGCAAAAAACAACAACAATATGGCAGCACAGCTTAGGTTTGCAAAGTTGCATCTGGACAAACCACAAGACTTCTGGAATTATGTCCTTTGGACAGACAAGACCAAAGTAGAGATGTTTATCCATGATGTTTAGCACCACTTTTGGTGAAAACCAAACAGAGCATATCAGCACAAATACCATATATTGTCAAACGCAGTTGTGGAGGGGTGATGATTTGGGCTTGTTTTGCAGCCACAAGACCCTCAATGATCTGCAGTCATTGAGATGACCATGAAATCCTCTTTATCAGTGGTGCCTCGACTTACAACCATCTTGATTTGCAACCAACTTGCAACCAAGTTGAGTTATAACCAGCTCTAGGTCACAACATTTTGCTTTGACTTGCAACCGGCGCTTTGAGATATAACCAGAAAAAAGGCCACTTTTCCTCATTGTTCCCTCCCTCCTTCCTTCCTTTCCTGCGTGCCTTTCCTGACCCTTAGAGGTCATTTAGGTTTAAAAAAAGTCTCCCCTTAGTGGATGAATTAATCGCTTGGTTGAGATACAACCAAAAACGGCTGGAACTGGAAATGGTGCTTTGAGTTACAGCCAACTTGAGTTACAACCATCATCCGGAATGAATTAATTTTGCAACTCAAGGCACCACTGTATACCAAAGCAACATTCTAATTTTCAGCCCTGCTGGGTTGGGCTCCACCCCTCACACACAACTCTGCTCCTCTACATAGGGTTCCATCATGACAGGAACCAAATCCACATGTTTTCTTGTTTCTAACTATGGCATGAGTGATTCTTAATGTAGCAACAAAATCCATGTGTGGAAGCATACCTCTGGGCACAGATTACTCTCACAGGAGACGAAAGTCTTTAAAATATCTTTTTTCCCCCAGAATTTTGCACATTTCATACACAAACACAAAGACATCTTTTGATTAGTTGTATCTTTGCTTAATAACAGGACACTGGTCCTTTCTGACACCTTTACAGAAACAGAATGTATTCTATCCCAGGTAAAGATAATTCATTTGTTAATGATCTATAACTACTGAAATTAGTTCATTCAAAAGAGTTCAAGAGGCCATTGATTGCAGAATTGTAATCTAACAAAGAGTCATGCTGGATGACTAATGAAATTTCACTCCACAATTCCTCTTTTAAAAAGCCATTTCACCTTCCCCAAGGTAAAACAAAAATAAAAACATGTTCAGGTTTGCATTCATTTATGAAATTATGTACAGCTTGACTTAAGGGCAATAGTAAATTTTCTCTTAGCTGCGTAATGGTACACTCTGATTTTCTAGAGCTCCTGCAAAACAACACAACTTGGCTAAAAGATTAACTGTACATCTTAATATGCATATTGCATAATGTAACTGTGCAGTCCGTGAGCTGTTCTTATGGCCCCCTATTTCTGCAGTCCCTCAACCATTACATCTGGGGGGGGGGGATATCAAAAGGAAAATTAATATTGTGCCTTTGGAAGCCTCCAGGGGGCACAGTTCTTGATCAAATGATGGCATGTGGTTACACCTTGTTTTAGTATCCAGAGTATTTTCTGAGAAAGAGAATTGTAAATTCCAGTCACTGTAACCACTGACAGGTTTCTGGGTGACTGGGAATGGACTGGATGCAACTCAAGGGGCCAACAGGGCTGTTCACTCTTTACATGACCAAGAACAAGGAAATATCAAGATTTAAAAAAAGAAAAAGAAAGAAAGAAAGAAAGAAAGAAAGAAAGAAAGAAAGAAAGAAAGAAAGAAAGACAGAAAGAAAGAAAGAAAGAAAGAAAGAAAGAAAGAAAGAAAGACAAATTTGACAGAATCCTATCACAAAGATTTATAGAACATAATTCATTCAATGGGACTTTTAAAAAGATGCTTGACTTTGGCCAGATCATGCCTTTTAGTTGTTGTAAGACAACAACAATATTGTGTAAAAATTATGTTCAATTCCAGTTAAGATAGAAAGACTCCTGCTGGATTAGATCAATAGGTCTAAACAGTCCAGCATTATATTCACACAGTAGCCAACGAGATGTCTCTGGGAAGACCAACACAAGCACATGAATGAAACCGTTCCCTAATACAATCCAGGCCTCTTAGTAACTGGTACTGCAAGGTATATGCTCTCTGATACTAGACAGAACATACCATTATCCTGTAGCCACCAATGGATATTCTCAATGAACTGTCGAATCACTTCTTAAAGCTACCTGCACTGGTGGCTATCACTACATCGTATGGTAGCCAATTCACAGTGCAGCGCTGCACTCTTCTATTTACCCAGACTGAACGTAAAAGCTACATCTTTAATATAAGCTTTTTGGAACTAGTTGTATTAAAATGTGAAGTAAAAATTTATAGAGTAAAATATAAATATTTTGAAAAGGTCATGATGGACTACAGGAAGCCTCACAGAATGTTAGAATTAGTCAAGCCAGGCTGCCAAGCACTCCAAGTTTAGGACCGTACAAAATAATCCTCACTTAGAGTGAAGTTCCACTGTGTCTAATGGATCCCGTTCCCAGGCAAGAGTACACAAACTGCAAACCCTAATGTAGATGTGGAATCTCAGTGTAAGGCACTGCATAATTCTTATAGTTAACC